CATGTCACTATAGAAAGCTGATTTTAAGTCCTTTGAGTATAATAAATCAAGGAGTGGGATAGCTTCGTCGAATGGTGGTTCCACTCCAAGTTTTCTGAGGAATCTCCAGACTGCTTTCCAGAGTGGTTGCACCAATTTGCAGTCCCACCAGCAAATGCATAGGTGTAACTTTCTCCCCACATCCTCACCAACATTTATTGTTACTTGTATTCTGACTGATAATCGCCATTCTGACAGGGGTGAGATGAAATCTCAGTGTAGTTTTAATTTGAATTTCTCCAATTGCTAGAGATGTTGAACATTTTTTCACATATTTGTAGACTGATCAAACTTCTTCTATGAAATGTCTGTTCAATTCCTTTGCCCATTTATTGATTGGGTTATTTTTTTTTTTTTTTGGTGTTAAGTTTTTTGAGTTCCACTCTGTATACGGTGTAGGTGGCAAAGATTTTCTCCCATTCTGTAAGCTTCTGTTCACATTTTTTATTGTTTCCCGTGCTGTTAAAAAGATTTTTAGTTTGACACCATCCTATTTATTGATTCTTGATTTTATTTCTTGCACTTTAGGGAGTCTTGTTGAAGAATTCAGTTCCTAAGCTGACATGATGGAGATTTGGGCCTACTTTTCCTTCTATAGGCTCAGGGTCTCTGTTCTAATACCTAGGTCCTTGATTCACTTGGAGTTTTGTGCTGGGTGAGAGATAGGAGTTTAACTTCATTTTGCTACATATGAATTTCCAGTTTTCCCAGCATCATTTGTTTAATAGGCTACCTTTTCTTCAATGTTTGTTCATGGTGCTTTTGACTAGTATGAGATAACCATATTTATGTGGGTTTGTCTCTGTGTCTTCTATGCTATACCATTGGTTTTCATGTCTGTTTTGGTGCCAATACTATGCCGTTTTTGTTACTATAGCTCTGTAGTATTGGTGTTGAGATGCCACCTGCTTCCCTTTTCTCTCTGAGGATTGCTTTGTCTATTCTGGGCCTCTTACTTTTCCAAATGAATTTCATGACTGCTTTTTCTATTTCTATGAAGAACACTGTTGGAATTTTGATTGGAATTGCATTAAATCTGTATAGTGCTTTTGGTAGTATGGCTATTTTGACAATATTAATCTTGCCTATCCAAGAACATGGGAGATCTTTCCATTTTCTAAGGTCTTCTTCAATTCCTTTCTTTAGTGTTCTATAGTTTTCATTGCAGAGATCTTTCACCTCTTTTGTTAGATTGATTCCCAAATATTTTATTTTTTGAGGCTACTGTGATGGGATGGTTTTCCTAATTTCTCTTCCAGTTGACCCATTGCTGAGGTATAGGAACACAATTGACTTATGGTTGTTAATTCTATATCCTGCTACTTTGCTGAATTAATTTATGAGTTCTAAAAGTTTTTTGGTGTGGAATTATTTGGGTCTTCTAAATATAGAGTCATGTCATGGGCAAATAGGGATAATTTCAGTTCTTCTTTTCCTATTTGTATCCCTTTAATTTCTTTTATCTAATTAATCTGGCTAAAGTTTCAAGGACTATGTTGAATCAAAGTGGTGAAAGAGGGCATCCTTGTCTTTTGCCAGTTTTTAGAAAGAATGCTTTCAATTTTTTTTTCCATTTAAAATGATGTTGGCCTTGGGTTTAATGTATACAGCTTTTACGATGTTGAGGTATGTTCCTACTATCCCTAGTTATTCCAGTGTTTTCAGCTTGAATGGATGCTGTATTTTGTCAAATACTTTTTCTGCATCTGTTGAGATAATCATGTGATTCTTTTAAGTCTATTTATGTGATGAACTACTTTTTTTGMATTCTGTATGTTGAACCAACCTTGCATCCACTTGATCATGGTGCACTACCTTTTCAATATGTTTTTGTATGCAATTTGCCATTATTTTATTAAGAATTTTTGCATCTATGTACTGAGGCTAGCCTTGAACTCACAATCCTCCTGCCTCAGCCTCCTGAGCTGCTAGGATTATAGGCATGTGGCACCTGGCAAACCATTATACTTTAGTATGAGTCAAGGCAGTGATGCCAAATTGTACTAACAGTCATTGAATTCTTCGCCCCAAATCACTGTAGTATAAACAAGGGAATTTTTTCCTCCCTGGTGCTATGAACCCAGGGCCTCATGCCTGCTAGGCAAGTACTCTTAACACTGAGAAGCATCCCCACTGGCAAATTTATTTCCTTYCTTCCCCTCCCCAACCTTCTCTTTTCAGTGCTGGGGACCCAAGGCAACTTTTTAAATATTATATCAGCTATGACTGTTAGCTCCAATAAAATCAATTATTTTGTAAGTTGAACTGGTCACTTTTGTCATATAATACTTTTACTTGAAAAATCCACAAGAAGACAAATTGGTGATTATTCAAA